GAGGCTCCGTCTAACATACTTTGGACATGTTGTGAGGAGAGACCTGTCCTTGGAGAGGGACATCATGCTTGGGAGGGTGGAGGGACAGCTCAGGAGGGGAAGGCCCTCTGTGAAGTGGATTGATTCAGTAACTGGGATAATTGGGATGGGAGTGTCAGAGACAGTGCGATTGGCACAGGACAGAGCAGAGTTTAGGGCTATTGTACGTAGGGTTGCTATGAGTCGCAAGCGACTCGACAGCACATAACAACAACAACATTAAGCAGTTTATGCAAGGATAGTATTCTTAAACTTTAGTGTTTTATACTAAGTTTTACGGATACTGCCTTCAGATCTTATGACTAGCTACAACTCCATCTCTACCTGTAGCCATCAAAGTGAGGTCCTGTACTATTTGCCTTTTGTGATTGGCTTATTTCTCTTAGTATAATGCCTTCAAGATCTATTCGTGTTACAACTTGTATCAAGACTTTCTTTTTTTTATTATTATTTTTATTACTTTGTGTGTGTGTACCGTCATTTTTTGTGTGTGGATCTGACTGGACAGGAGGAGACTGTCCCACCTTCTCCAGCAGAGCATCTGGTGGATTCAGACTGTTCACCTCTGGGATTGCAGTGTAGCTTCTTGCCACTAGGCCACCAGCGCTCACAAAGATTTTCTTTTACTGACTGAATAGTGCTTCATTTTATGTACATGCCACATTTTGTTTATTCATTCATTCTTTGATGGGTATTTAGATTATTTCTACCTTTTCAGTGTTATAAATATTGCTGTAATAAACATGCTGTACAAGTATCTAATTGAATCTCTACTTTAAAGTCTTTGTGTATATACCTATCCATGGAATTCTTAAACCACATTGTGGTTTTGTTTTTAGTTTGTAACTGAATTTCTCTTAATTAAAAGTTACCATAGATAAATATATTCCAACTTTCCAAAGGCAAATATAGTCATTATAAAATTTATAATAAAAAGTTAATCTACCATTCTTAAAAGACCATAGTAGAAACATCTGGTCCAAGAAAATGGAATCATCCCAAGTTTTGTTTTAAAGTTTAAGACCAATAGAAGTGTGCTTTTTAGTGAAATTAATTAGTAGACAAAAAAATTATCATTTGTTCATGTTCTAAAAAACATTTTCTCAATTTGTTAATCAAAAGAATAGAATGTAATAGGATCATGTTCTTGTTGTAAATGCAATAGAAAACCTTTTGTCTCTCTTTCAAAATTATAGGCAGAACAAGCGGCTATAACTTCTGATTTTGAAAGCTACAAAGTCCGAGTTCATAATGTTCTAAAACAACAGAAAAATAAATCAGTATCCCAGGCGGAAACAGAGGGAGCTAAACAAGAAAGGTAAAGTGTAAGTTAAACATGCAGGGATTACCCTATTTCACCCTTTAAATAGGTTGAAAATATGACTGATTTCTTTAGACTATGAAATAATTTCTTGGCTTCCTTGTGTCACCAGAATAATAATAGAAAACTTCCTTATTTAAGGCATTAAAGTGCAAATGTGTTAGAATGAGTAATGAAACCAATATATTAGTTTATAATGTAAATGAAATAATTTGTTGTTTTTCAGTGGCATTGACTCCAACCCATTGCAGCACACCTGTGTACAACAGATCAGAACCTTGCCTGACCGTGCACCATCGCAGTCTCCACTGCTTTTAAGCCCGTTGCTGTGGTCACTGTGTCAGTCCATCTCACTGAGAGTCATCCTCTCCTTCTCTGCCCCTCCACCTTTCTAAGCATGACAACTTTCTAAAGATGAGCCCTTACTGACAACATGTTCAGTGTACCTCTCACCACTACACTCAGTGCTCTCTGATGACACTTCTCCCAAGAGAGATGAGTTTGTTCTTTTGACATTTCATGATGTATTTAGTACTCCCGCCACCACTATTAAATTAAAGCTAACTACTTCAAACTTGTATTAATCTGATCTGATAAAGATTTAAGCGAAAGTTTGGCTAAACAAAAAATATGTGAAAACATTAAATCAAAATTCCCTCAGATATGTCATTGTCAAATTGGTTCAGACTCATAGACCTTTCATCAATATCCCAACACTGTAAATCACCATGGGAGGATGTTGTCTCTCTTTCTCCTGGGGACATGCTGGTAGCTTCAGACTGCCTTTGGGTTAGCAACAAAATTTACCAGACTATGCTCCCAGGACTACCTCCAAAAGTCTTTTAAGAACTGAATTTTGATTTTGTTTTGTTTTGGGGTTTTTTTTTTAATTTTTTTTGAATTTTGATTTTGAATTAATATTTCCTTTTTAAAGGGAGTTCTGTGGCAAGAAGCTACGCTGCAATCCCAGAGGTATATGGTTCGAATCCACCAGATGCTCTGCTGGAGAAGGAGGGACAGTCTCCTCCTGTACCAGTCAGATCCAATTTGACTGTACACACATAAAAAATAATAATTTTTTTAAAAACTTTTCTTCTTAAAACAAATTTATGACCATCTGTTATTACTTGAGTTTTTTAATTTTTTTAAAATATTGTTTAAGGCATCACTTTCTCAAATCAAAATATGCTGGAGGCAAGTTATTGGGATTCTTTGTATGTATGCATATGTTTAAAACAATTTTACATCTGACTCAAAGTTCTCATACAGAACTTTCCTGTATGTTTATGTTACGAGGCTTTGTCTGACATACTTTGGACATGTTATAAGGAGAGAGAGGTCCTTGGAGAGGGACATCATGCTTGGGATGGTGGAGGGATGGTGCATGAGGGGAAGACCCTCTATGAGGTGGATTGATTCAGTGATGGGTTAATCGGGATGGGTGTATCAGAGGCAGTGTGATTGGCACAGGATAGAGCAGGGTTTAGGGCTGTTGTACATAGGGTCGCTATGAGTTGCAAGCTACTCGACGGCACATAACAACGACAACTTTTTATTAGAAATACTAAGTGGGGAATACAGGCTGAAAATGATGAGACATTTTTATCTACAAATAGTGAGCTCAAAGCTTAGGTTGATCTTAAACACATTTAAAGACTAAATGGAAAGCTGTCACTTTAGTGTAAGAGTCATCTTATTGTCATTGTGCCTAAATTTTTAGTTAATTTGATTGTAAATGTGTTATGTTCCTTCTGCTTATACTTAAAGGGTTTTTTTTTTTTTTATTTTCAGGGGGGACAAGTATTCCTCCATATATTGTACTGTTTATGGCAGAATTATTTTTCTTGACTGTTTAATTTTCAAACTAATTTTATAATCTTATAACCTAAAATAAGCAATTTTGATGCAGTGTTAAAGTCTACACTATTTGTATATGAAATTCATAAATTTTGAGGCATTTTGTGCCTAATATAGTGCCTAATTCTGAAATCTAATTGTTTTCATATTATGTTTAATCACTAAATTTCTCTGATTATTATATTTCTTTTTTTTTGTTGTTCTTATAGAGCCATTCATAATAAAAACAGATGTATGGCACTGAAAAATTGCTGGTTAAAGCGTCTTTTTAAAACTTTTTTTAAACTCTTTTGTATGTATTTCAGGGAACACCTGGAAATGCTGATTGACCAACTAAAAATCAAATTACAAGATACTCAGAATAATTTACAGATTAGTGTATCTGAACTTCAGACATTACAGTCTGAACATGATACTCTGCTTGAAAGGCACAACAAGATGCTGCAGGAAACCGTGTCCAAAGAGGCAGACCTCCGAGAAAAGTAAGGTTATTAGGTGAACTCACACTGTTTGTACTAGGCAGTAAAACATTTCTTTGTTGGAACTCCTAATGCATTGTTCCATAAACAGATGCAAATTTGAAGGTAACAAATAGATGTTTCTAATTTCTTGATAACTTACTTTTATTCTCTCTTAGAATTTCCCCTTTGGATTGTTTTTTTATTTAGCATACTCAAGAGCAATTCACATCTATGTATGCATCCATATAGCTCCCATGCCATCATGGTCAGAATTTACACACACGCAAAGCCAGAGACTACTCCAACCCTAGTTTCAAATTTACACACACACACAAAGCCAGAGACTACTCCAACCCTAGTTTCAAATTTCTAACATTTTTTTTATTTCTAGAAGAAAACATTTAAGTAGCTGGTGATTGAAAAAGAATCTGCTATTAACCTTTACAACTTTTCACCTTGTCATATTGCTACACTTGTGTTAAGCAGTAGAATATTTTAAATACATTTTAGAGATATTGGCAGAATGAACAGATTTTGTGGCATTAGAAACATAGAAATTTGAAGTGCTGTAATAAGGAAATTTGGTGAATTCTTTTCTCTTAGGCTTAGTAAAAAGAGAATTACTTCATTAATTCTTCAGAATTACTTCATTCTTCATAAAGCATCTTTTATCAGGGATGTCAGCATAAGTTCTATACCTCAGGTATGCTTACAACATAAACCTGACTTTACAAAAGTGAAAGTACTTTAATATTCTTGCTTTGGAATCTGCACATAATACCGCTTACATAAAGTAAGCTAAACAAATTCTTTTAAAGTAATTTGGTCATTTAGATGCCTCTGTTAAATGGCAGTCACTCCTCTAAGTGCTGGGAAATGTTCATAGCATTTTGAGAAACTTTCAAAGGGTCTTCCTTCCCCTTCAGAAATCGTGAACTCAGCAGTGTTAAAAAAATTAGACCTTTCTTTATATGCTTTCTACGTTTTAACTATTTAATACTCTGACCAGATTTCTGTTTAAGAATACTGGCATAAAGTTTTAAAACAGCTCTACAGGAATGTGGTAATTCAACTGCTCAGCTAGTGTTTGCATTAACCGGAAGGGTCCAGCTAATATAAACACCTGCAAGATGTAAAATAGAACTGCAATTCTGTTAGCTCAGTTGTTTTTAATTCCAGATGTGAGATTTAAGAGTGTAACTGTCAAGTAAGTAGATTTAAAAGTGACACTGATACCTTTTAAAAATTAAGCACCATGCCCCAGCACTAAAATGTAACTTTTTCTCCTTAGAAAGTTGTGACTGCTTTTGATGTCCCCTTTATAAGATTTCTTGATAGAAATTTTATATACAAAATGTTTGCAAAAAAAGTGCAGATTCTTTTTCAAAGAGTAGCATATACACAGATGTACTATATTCATTCATTATTACCACCTTGGCAACGAAATAATTTTTCTAAAACATGTAGTATTTTCATTGCATTTCTCCTTTTAGGCAAAACATCTTTTTAAAAAACCTTACATGGCATTCATGTATAATGAATAAGAGAAAGTCTTGAACAGAAACACAGCACCAAACTGGTAAACAGTGTTTACCCCTGTGATTGGGATTTTACTGTGCTTGGGGGGAGAAGAGAAAGACAATGGGAAGTGAGTAAAGGAAGACTTTCTCATTTTTCTCTGCTTATTCATGTATTTTAATCTTTTTTTAAATTTAATTTTCATTGTGATTTTAACAAATGTTTACACAGAAGTTAGATTCTTTTCATCCATTCATTATTGCACAAGTTTGAATCCTTTTATGAAAATATACTTGTTTACTTGTTGATCTTTTTTGTAAAAAGTAAGGGGGAAGTATTTTTTTTCCAAAATCAAAATAAAACATCACTACTACAAATAAACCATGAAAAAATAGTCATTCTGCATAGTGTCAGACAGACTACATAAAATTAGAGATTCCAGAAGATTTTGATTCAGTCGTTCCAGGGTGAGCCCTAAACCCTCTGTTGTCAAGTTGCTTGCGACACATGTTAACTTTCCATTAGGTTTAACTGGAAACCTAATTTAACTATAAATCCTTTCAGGAGTTCATCCATATTTCTTTTAAGGAGTAGCTGGTAGATTTGAACTGCTGGCCTTTCACTTGGCAGGCCAACACACAATTCACTGCGCCACCAGAGCTCTGTAGGATGAGCACAAAATGTCTGTATTTTTAACACCGTACTGTAGTGACACAAGTGTGTAATAGTGTTTGGAAACAACTTTACTGTTTCATGTTAAATTTCTTAAAAAGGATAGTTTTCATAAGACTTTCCTTATGAATCAGAAGTGCTTCCTATTTTCAGGATAGTGGAGAAAGATGGTTAAATCATACATTTATGTGAACTGTCACATAAATTGACTTAAAATTATTCTACAATTGTACTCTATTTTCAGATAAACAATGGATAGAATTTATTACCAGAACCTTAGAATAAATTTTCAACCAACGATCTTCATCTGAAGTATGGTTCAGAAATACTCTTTTGAATCAGACAACAACTAATGTCAGTTCCTCCAAGGTGGTTCACAGTTAGTATTAATATAATTTTATGTTGTTGTGTGCCATGGAGTTGGAGTCACCCCTAGCAAACCCTCCAGTGGGTTTTCAGAGATAGTAAATCACCTTGTGGGAGATTGCACATCCTCCAGCAGAGCAGCTGGTAGATTTGAACCACAAGCCTTTGGGATTGCAGTACAGCTTCATTTGTTTAGTGGATGCTTGAGACATTTACAGCTTAATTCTCCTGTAAAACATAGTTGAGAAAGGCTGTCAGCATAAAAAGTTGAAAAATCCTACAAAATGCCTTTCTCTTCTCATCAGGTTGTGTTCAGTACAGTCAGAGAATATGTCACTGAAATCTGAACATGAGCACACTGTGAGTCAGCTCACATCCCAGAATGAGGTCCTGCGCAACAGTTTCCGTGATCAAGTACGTCATTTGCAGGAAGAGCACAGAAAAACAATGGAGACTTTACAGCAGCAGCTTTCCAAGGTGGAAGCTCAGCTCTTCCAGCTTAAGAGTGAACCTGCCACACGGAGTATGTATGAATTCATGGAAGTGTTACTTGGTTATGTTCTTGCTTATCTATGATACGCAACATATTTTTCACAAATTTGTAAAAAATTCTAACTTTGGCTATGTGATAACTCGTTTCAATTCTGTCTTTAGTGAACTTTGGGCTTGCTCACTTGAACTGTTTGAATTCTTTTTGATTATACTTACTGTAGCCTATGTAACCACTTAAAATTCCAATTTTTATGTATTTAGTACTCTGCAGGTAATGAAATATTTGCTCTTATCTAACTTAAATATACTTCTTGATATATGTCCTAGTTCCTGTTTGCTAAATTAGAAACATTAAGAAGATAGTAAGTGACATAGAAATACAAAGGCAGCGCTGAATTTCTAAGATTCTTAATTGATAAAACTACTTTACTTGCAAATTCATAATTTGTTGGAATATCTGTTATCCATATTCAATATATTGCATTCTTCATCAAGAAAAAATGACAAGGCATCAGCCATGATGAGGTTATATATTCCTAGTAAATTGGTGATGGTTTGTTTCCTGTGGAAATTGTCACTGAGGCTTTGACAGCTTTGGATCAGTCGTCAGACACTGAACTAGCTTCAAGATAATTACCATATGCAGAGAGTTCACAGAGAGATTCACCAACGAGACAAAGATTTCACAAGAGATCGTAATCTAGGAATTAGCCAAGAAATGTGGAATGAACAGTTGGCAAAATAACTGGAATCCTGAAAAAAATGCTGCGGTAAAGTCAGATAGAGAATGTAGTAGTTAGAAAGAACACGGGTAGTGACTTTATGGAATAGAAGATAAATGGAATTGAAATTCCAGTCCTTAGCTGTGAAATGTTAGACAAGGTCAGTTAATTTCTCTGAGTCTCAGGTTTCCTCAGATTAATTCATGTATGTAAAAGCGTCTCGTAAGTATTACAGTGGTAAAAACAATATAATTAATTTACATTAATTAAGAGTAAAGATCTATACAGTTGCAAAAAAATTGGTTTAAAATGGCAGTTATTAATATAAATTAAACTTTTTTGCAAGTGTTCATTATCAGCAAGCAGAAAAGTACTTTCTAAGAAATATAATTTATAGTGAGTGACCTGCTCTGGATTCTGAGCTCTTGTAGGCTAGCAGTGTGTAGGCTTTAGGAATCCAGCAGAAGTAAAGAATGTAAGTGCAGGTGGTCGTGTCAACATGTCTTTTATGGTAAGCAAATTCCAACAAGTGCATTTTGGCAAAAAAATACACAACTATCTTAAATATCTAATCATAAAAAAATAGCTAGACTCTAGTTTTAGAATTTCACCAATATTAGGAACAGTATAGACCTCTACATTTAATTAATGAAAATTAATTGTACTATGTTTTAATCATTATATTACTTAAAAGTTGATATAGCTGTTGGTGTGCTGTAGGATCAGTTTGAACTAACTGATTTCAGATTTCACATGACAGAATAGAACTGCTAAGTAAGGTTTCCTAGGTAGAGTGTCTAGTAAATTCAAAGTACTAACTTTTGGGTTAGTAGGCAAGCACTTAGCTGTAGTGCCACCAGGGCTCCTTCCTATGTAGTTAGTAAAGATTGTTTTTTTCAATATAAAGTTGAATAAACATTTTTTAGAAATGCTTGCTTTATAAATTCATCTTCCAAGTATTCTGTTTCCCTGCCTTTCAGTTGGTACCCCCAACATCATTGTGGATCTCTGTTCAGGTTGAATACATCAGTTTTGAACAGTCTATAATATACCTTATAAAAATTAACAGGCCCAGCCTCTTCGCATCAACCTTTGAAGAACTTTCGAGAAAGGAGAAACCCAGACCTTCCCCTTCTGGACATGCATGCCATAACCAGGGAGGAAGGAGAAGGAATGGAGACAACTGATGTTGAGTCTGTGTCATCCACCAGCACTCACACACAGTCTTTAGAGCAACTTCTTAATTCTCCTGAAACTAAGCTTGGTAAATTTCCTTTTCTAAATCTGCTTTTCTTACTTATTTTGCTATATGGTAACTGTTACCCCAAGTAATAAATGTTTTCCAACTCATTTAAATCAAATGTTTTTTGTTCCATCCCTTTTCCAAATAGAAAACTTTGCTAAAAATTGAGGGGTTTTTCTTTTTCATTAGAAGAAGAAGGAAAAAAAGTGGCTGTTGTAGGGTAGAATAAGATGGTAATAGTTGGAAGGTTAGTGGTAGTGGTTTTGGATGCTGCTGAGTCTATATTAATTCACAACAACCCTATGTGGTACTGAGAAACTACTCCCAGAGAGTTTCCCAGGCTATAATTTTTGCAGAAGCAGATCACATCTTTCTCACACACAGCCACTGGATGAGTGCAAACCATTGAGTGCTTAACCATTGTGCAATCAAGCCTCTTTGAAAATGCTAGGGGTAATACAAAGTAAGATAATATCATTACTTCAAGATTGACAGTTGCTGTATGTTCCTCATTGTGAGGTGGTTGTTAGGTGCCCTTAAGTCTCCTGTGCCTCACAGCAATCCTGTGAACAACAGATCAAAACCTTGACCTATCCTGCACTCTTCCCACAATCTCCACCATGCTTCCGCCCAAATTCATAGTCATTGTGGTGATCAATCTCTCACTGATGGTCCTTCTCTCTTTTCACTAACCCTCAGCCTTCCCAGGGTCACTATGAGTAAGCCATACTCGACTTGATGTCCCCTAACAACCACAATACTTTTCTAAGCATGTTATGTTTTTCTAAGAACTAGGACCTCCTGACAGAATGCCCAATATGTGAGCCAGAGCCTCAACAGCCTTGCCTCAAGGAGCACCCTGGTTGTACTTCCTCCAAAATAAATGCCTTTGTTGTTTTGGTAGTTCTTTATAAAAATGCCTAGTGGATTTTTATATAATGTGAATTTTTGTTTTTCCCATAGAATCTTTAAGTATTACAGCTCAAGGCTTGAGTTTACTCTTCAGTTCTTTCAGCTTGAGAAATGCCAATTGTGCTCTTCCCTTTTGATTTTCTAACTCCAGGTCTTTGAACATTTCATAATAATCCTTTGTCTTTGTGTGCCACCTTTTAAAACTTTTCAGCTCTTCCATCCATATTTCTGCCATTTGTTTTAGCTACTCTGTGTTCAGAAGCAAGTTTCAGAATTTCTTCCAACATCCATTTTATACTTTTTCTTTCATTCATGTTTTTAATGACCATTTTTTTTTCATATGTGGTGTCTGTGATATCATTGCTTTACTTGTCTGATCTGTGATTGGTCTGATCTGCAATTGGTAGTGCTCAATGCATGACATCTGTTCTTAATATGTCTTTAATCGAGGTGGGATATATTCAAGGTTTTATTTTTGCTCTGGTGGGCTTCTTTTATATTTTTCTACTTCTGTTTGAACGTGTTCATAGCAGTTGGTGGGCTTTTCCACAGTTGACCCCTGGGCTCACCCATCTTTTCTACAGATACGGCCTTTTTGATTGCCCTCTATTCCATCCGGGAATACTGTTGGCTGATACGGGCATTGAAATTGTAAGTTGTCATAAGTTCAGGTGAAATTGGTAATAGTTGGATTTTGGCATCAGACTTTTGAGTCAGACTTGGCTTTGTGAATTTTGACAAAATTACTTCCCTACTCAGAACCTCTTGCATCATCTGTATAAAATCTGAAAAGTTACCCTTCCTCTGTCTTTGAAGTACTCCAGCCAGATTTTTTTTCTAGAATCAAGGATGGAGAGAGTGCATCTCATGTATTTTTGCTGTATAAAAGGAGACTAATCCCTGAAAAAGGACATTATGCTTGGTAAAGTATTTATAAAGTAGAGGGTCAGCAAAAAAGAGGAAGGCCCTCAGGGAAAGAGAGTAGTCCGGGTTACAACAGTGGTCTCAGACACTTTGTTGTGATGATGAAACAAGACCACAAAGTTTTTCTTCTGTTGTTCATAGGAACACTGAGCTGAAAATTAGTTGATGGTACCAACAGCAAAATACCTCCTCTTACGAGATTCTTACTAGAATTCAATGGTATAAATTATCAGTAAATGTTAGTTCTTCTCTCCTTGGTAGTTGAAATGGCATAAACTCTTGAACCATTAATATATGAATAAAGTAATAAAACATCCTATGAACACAAGCATGCCAGTTTAAGAAGTGAAGCCCATAATACTTTTACATTTAATTAGATTATAGGTTTTAAAATAGATTTTGGTTTTTACTACATTCAACATGTTTTTGCTATTGTTATGTGCCGTCGAGTCACTTGTGACTCATAGCGACCCTATGTACAACATCCCTAAACTCTGCTCTGTCCTGTGCCAATCGCACGTCTCTGACACACCCATCCCGATTACCCCGTCACTGAATCAATCCGCCTCATAGAGGGCCTTCCCCTTCTGCGCTGTCCCTCCATCCTACCAAGCATGATGTCCCTCTCCAAGGACCTGTCCCTCCTTGCAACATGTCCAAAATATGTTAGACGGAGCTTTAGAATCCTTGCCTCCATGGAGCAGACCGGTTTGACCCTTTCCAGAATGAATCTGTTTGTTTTCCTAGCAGTCCATGGTACCCTCAATACTCTTCTCCAGCACCACAGCTCAAAGGCATCAATTCTCCTTCTATCCTCCTTAGTCATTGTCCAACTCTCTGATGCATAACAAGTGATTGCAGAGACCATGGCCTGTATCAGACGCACCTTAGTCTCCAGAGAGACACCATTGCTCTTCAGTACTTTGGAGAGGTCCCTAACAGCCGACTTTCCCATGTCAGTGTGTCTTTTAATTTCCTGGCTGCTGGTGCCGAGAGTGTTGACTGTGGAGCCAAGCAAACTGAAGCTGTGAACAATCTCAATCTCTTCACCATCCATCCTGATGCTGCCAGTTGGTCCAGTGGTGAGAATCTTTGTCTTCTTGACATTGAGCCTCGATCCATATTTGTGGCTGCAGTCCTTGACCCTCTGCAGCAAGCGCTTCAGGTCCTCCTCAGTTTCAGCAAGCAGGGTTATATTATCTGCATAACGCAGATTGTTGATGTCAGAAGAGAGACATTCAGCGTACAGCCTTTTTTTTTCTTTTTTTATACAGCCTTTTAATTAAGGTTGAATTAGGTAAATAGCAAAAAGAATGAACCTATATAATATTGCAGAAATATTTACTTGACTTTTTTTTATTGAAATCTTTATCTATAATCTCTTACTTTTGAAAATTACCTGGCAAAATTCTGTTACAGAGCCTCCTTTATGGCATGCTGAATTTACTAAAGAAGAATTGGTTCAGAAACTCAATTCTACCACAAAAAGTGCCGATCACTTAAATGGCCTGCTACGGGAAACAGAGGCAACAAATGCAATCCTTATGGAGCAAATTAAGGTAATTTTTAAGAACCCAAAAATACTCTGAGTGACTTGATTTTCTTGACTCTTTATGTGCCCTCATTTCACAGGCCTCCGTAACATATTGCTACATCGTGATATTAGCCTCCAACTAATTGAGAAATACTAGTTGCTTTTATATCTAAATGCTATTTCATTCCCAATATTTTGTAAGAAACTAAGTTTTAGAAACCACTGTTCTTACATTTAAATAAACCATAAAAATAAATTTTGGTACTTAAATTCTAAAGCTAAATTGTGGAGCACTTAGAATTCAAACCATTCAATGTTTTGACACTGAACTACTTAATACAGGTTGTGAGTAGAGATAGCAAAGTCATATTAGCAGTTTCTCCTATTTAAACATAACCAAAAAGTTCAGAAATAAAAGATATCGATATTTTGAAAATTACTCAAGGTATCTTCAGCCCCCAATTCTTTGATAAATCACATCTCAGAATATCATACTACTATTGAAGGGTTCTAATGTGCCAGGCTCTGATATTTACCTATCTTATTTATTTTTATATTCACTGTGTAAGAGAAAAATTGAAGCTGATAAAGGGTGAAACAGAATTCAGACTCACATCTGAAAAGCACATATTACACACTCCTTCCCTCCCCCCATACCATGCTGATCCAAATAGATTTGTCCTACCTCGGTAGGGCCACCATGTCCTTGTCAGGTATTTTTTTTTTTTAATGCTGAATTACTTTTTTTTAAATGGTAACATATTTTAATGTAAATTACAGATAACATGACATCTTACAGAAAAATACTTTTAGTATCCATCTCACAAAAAAATGTTTCACACAGTCACATAATATTATCACACTTAACAAATCATTAACTAACCCAGTGGATTTAGATGACTATTTAAATGTTATATTTCCACAACTTTAAACTCACCGTCCTTTTTCTTAGGCCTAATTGTCTTGGTTTTTGTTTTTGTTTTTTTTAATTACCATACATCTTATTCAGCACTCACCAACTTTCCGAGAATAACCTATGATAAAATATAACAGTATAAACACTACACAGAAATAAAATAGTATGAAATCTTCCCCAAAGTATATGTCATCATTTTTTTTTCATATCTTTTGGTAGTTTGGTCAATTCTATTTTGTAATATAATTTATATTGTCATTTATTGTTGAATTCTCACTCTGTTTTGAAGTCTGATCTTTGTTTAGATTAATTTGTTGTTTCTTATAAAATGATTTTACTGTGGATATCTAAAGTTATTTGTGTTCTGAGAACCAGGCAGGCAGGGGAAAGGAGTTAGTGGAAGATGCAGTTGTTCGCATCAGTGCACTGCCTGCCACCTTTCACCCCTCACTGGCCAATCTAGCTCATGCACCTCTAGTGTGTCTTAATCCAAAGTCCTGGGCTCCACTGACTCAGTCTTTATAGAGAATAACTGCTAGACGGAGTCTGCTGCCACTCTATTTCCTTCTCTTCTGTTAGGACTTTCTTGGTATCTCTTTTCCATTGGTTTTCCCCCCTTTTATTGTCATTTTTATGTCCTTCTAGTCTGTCATATTTCATCAGTAGTTCCTAAAACCTATTATTAACTCCTTTCTCCTCATTCCTCTAATACCAGCTTCTCAAAAGTGAAATAAGAAGATTAGAAAGAAATCAAGAACGAGAAAAGTCGGTTGCTAACCTGGAATACCTGAAAAATGTCTTGCTACAGTTCATCTTTCTTAAACCAGGCAGTGAGAGAGAGAGGCTGCTTCCTGTTATAGATGCAATGTTGCAGCTTAGCCCAGAAGAAAAAGGAAAATTGTCTGTAATTGCTCAAGGTGGGTGAAAGGAGTCTTATAATTTTTATTTTTGAATTTACACTGCTTATTGGAGTCAAGGATGCTGAAGCTTTGTCTCACATGCTTTGGGCATGCTGTTAGGAAGGGAAGATGCTCAACAAGGTGGATTGACACTGACTGTAACAGTGGGCTCAAGTGTATTGGAGATGATGAGGATGGCACAGGATAACGCAAGGTTCAGATCCACTATTCATAAAACCACTATCAACTTGATGACACATAATGCCAACAACTGCTTCATGGGCATATGGTCAAGACTTTGTCTAAGTGTACACTTTGAATCTTCTTTACAATACTGTTATTGTTACATACCATCAAGTCAGAACCAATGCATAGCTAACTTTCAAGTGGGTTTTTCAGGGACAGTAAATCACTCTCCTAATAATCTTGTAGGATAGAGTAGAACTACCTTGTCATGTACCCAACATTTTAACTCTTTTCAGAAGCAGACTTCAAGGTCTTTCTCCCTTGGAGCAACTGATAGGTTCAAATTGCCAACATTTTGAGTAGCAACTGAATGTTTTAATCATTCTAATCCCAGGGTTCCTGAATATCTAATAGCCTTTTAAAAGACTAACTTGTTTATAATATAATGTAGATTGTAGCAAATGGTTATGGAAGTACAATTTCCATTTACTTAGCTATTTAAAAAACAACAACAAAAACCCCACTTATCCTAGGGGATTCCAATAACAGAATTTTTTTAGCATATATAATTCCATAAAATATTCATCCAAAAGTTCACTGTGGTGGTGGTGGTGGTGGTGGTGGTGATGCGTGTCATATTGTTGGGTTTTTTTTAACTCATAGTGACCCAGTGTAATAAAGTAGAAGTGTTTTCTAGGCTATAAACTTTGCAAGAGTAGAAATTACCAGCTCTTCTCTGCTATGGAGCTGATGGTTGTAACCACCATTACAACCATTAGTAACTAAAAATGTTTAACTTCTCACCACCAGGACTCCTTTAGAAGTTTGAAACTCAGAATTCTGAGGTAGATTTTTGCTAGGTCCTGTAAATATATAGGAAAACCCTACTTGTAAAATCAAAATTATTTTGCCCTTTAAAGATTACATAGGGAGCTCTGGTGACCTAGTGGCAAGAAGCTGTGCTGCAATCCCTAAGACACGCCATTTGAGGTCACCAGCTGCTCCACGGGAGAAGGATGGGCAATCTCCTCCCGTGCAATTAACTGCTGCTAAAAACCTGCCAGAGGGTTAGCTATGGGTCAGTTCCATCTCCACAGTACAAAACAACAAACTTCTGACAAGATGAAAGCAAACTAAAAATTATACGCAGTGATAGTTTACAGCAGGTTTAGATGTGGTTTAATAGAATTGGTAAGCTGAAGAATGGTCAGAAGAAATCACCCAGAATTCAACCTGGAAAAAAGAAATCTGGAAAGTATATTAAAAAGTAAGATAGAGACATCTAACATATACTTAATAATTACAATTCTGGGAAGGAAAAGATTGAAATAAAGACTATATTTGAAATGAATGACCAAACATTTTCTAGAAAAAAAAAATCTCAAAAACCTTCAGAGAAAAAAGATACTTTGCCTCATTTCCTTTAAGGAGTAATAGATTAAAAATGGACTTCTTTATAGCAGTGATGGAATGTTTTCATCAGTATGCTCAAAGTACTCTGTTACTTACAGCCAGCCCTGTGAAATAGCTTTCAAGATCTTTTCTAACGTTAAGAATTCATCAGCATTGAAAATTCTAAATGATGTACTTGAAGCCTAAGGTAGATTTACTAAATGATTATCAGAGATGGTAAGCAGAAATGGTATGCAAAGAAAGCTTGTCACCGTGTTACAGATAATAAGCCTTAGGCCTTGGATCCACAGTTAACACCCTTGGTGCCAGCAATCAGGAGATCAGGCGTTGTATTGCATTGGTAAAGCCTGTAGTCAGGTACCTTTCCAAATTATTGAAGGGCGTTGATGTCAGTTTGAGGACTAAGGTGCTGCTGATTCAGGCCGTGGTGTTTTCAGTCACTTGCTATGCATCTGAGAGCTAGACAGTGAATAAGAATGACAGAAGAATTGATGCCTTTGAGCTCTGATGTTGGAGAACAGAACTGAATATTCCTTGGACTCTCAAAAGAACAAATATAATGTCTTGGAGAAGGTGCAGCCAGAGTGCTTCTTGGAAGCACAGATGATAAAGCTTTGTCTTACATACTTTGGTCATGTTGCTGGGAGAGGCTGTTCTTTAGAGAGAGACATCATGCTTGGAAGCATGGAGGGATGGTGAAAGAGAGGGAAGACCGACCCTCAACCAGGAGGATTTACACAGTAACTACAGCAGTCAGCTTGAGTGTCTCAGATTGTGAGGACAGTGTTCAGATCTGTTATTCATAGGGTCAGTGCTCGACTCGATGGCTCTAAACAACAACAGGCCTTGCCGGTCATCTCAAGAACAGTTCATTACCAGGACCTTGAAGATAATAACCAACATTGCATATAGGTGGGATGCCAGAAGAAGGGGTCTGAGAGTCACTTTTGTTGATACAGAGGAAAACAGAATCATTCGGAGAACACCAGTATCTCTTGACTGCTTCTTTCCTTGGAAGCATGTAAATGTTATGTTTTGGTAAAGTTCATAACTTTTGTAACTGCTTATTGAATCACTGTGTATGGTAAAATGACTTACAGAGCAGAATTAGTCCCAAAACAAGTAACATAAATTGATGACATTGCCAAAAAGTGTAGATTACTCTTCTGTTTGTAGTGAAAATGTCAGTGGAAACCTACTTCTCTGTGGTATAGAGAGCAAAGCACAGTTCAAAGATTCTATATTCTCTACTTTAAATGCATCTTAATGGTACATGCATGAGCTTTACTCACCAAGTAAGTTAGAGCCAAATAGTATTTCTCTATGTAAGATTGGAATCTCAGTTTTGTAGTTCGTGCAGAGCTAAAAGTTCCTTCTCTACTTCTTTTTCACTCCCCATCCAATTGAAACTCCACAGAAATAGATTTTGTTACTTAATACACATATACTAAGGTCTGATAGTACAAACTAATAGAGAAGAAAAAGGGAAAAGGCTTATCAGACTTCCTGTCCTTTTTTTTATCTCAAGCAGGAAGACTAGGCACACTGACCATTCGTAAGTGCCTGATTTAATTTGCTGAGAATATAGAACTTTATCAGAAGAGAGTAGCACTTGGGTCAGGAGCAGATGCAGCCTCCATCTCTGCAGTTTCCTCTACTCTTGTTTTGCCTAAAGGAGTAATAGCTGCCAATAATAGTGTGTGCACAGAACAGGATCCTGCCAGATCAGAGAGGACAGCTTAATTCTTCCTGTGCTGTAAGTCTTACAGTTAAGAGTATGCTCCCTATTCTTTATAAACATCTCACAGCCTCTGCATTTCAGTCTAGGGAAAGGTTTATGGTCCTCATATTCTTGGGAACAAAGCTACCTCCTGCTCTGATGGAAGAAAGCATAGTCAGTGCCCAATTGTCCATCCCTGAAATTTCTAGAAATATAGCTATGCAAATTATGGAAAACGGACTTCTTTGAACACCTTTCCCCCACCCTGTGATTCCCGTGGCCTCCTTGGTCCATACATGAGCCAGTCAGCTCCCTCCTTTTGAATGTACTGGTATGGTGATTTGCTTCTAGCCAATATTATACGACAAAGGTGATGGATGGAATGGCACTTCCATGATTATGTTATAGATTATGACTTCTGTCTTGCTAGCAGACTCTAGAGAAAGCCACCTCAGTTTGTACTTGTTGAGGCAAATTGCATTTGCTGGTGTAGAAAAGACCTGAAGCAAACTTCAGTCAATAGGTAGTGAGACTAAACCTATCATTTTAGTCTCAAGGAATCAAATTTTGTCAGCTACCTTTTGAGCTCAGAGCTGAGTCTTACCTGAGCATTTGGAGGAGAACTGAGCCCTGGTGAATACCTGGATTTGCAGCCGTGTGAAATCACGTAACTCTGCTAACCTATTGCCGAACTCCTGACAGAGGAACTAAGGCAATAAATATGTATTCTTTTAAGCTGCTATTATTGTAGTAATTTGTTAATAGTAGTAATAACTAGTAAAATTATAAAGCCAGACAGCTAACAGATAATGTCAGATAGGTCCTGGGTGAGAATAAACAATACCAGAAGAATGTCTGTTTATGCTTGTTGACTATGCAAAGGCATTTGACTGTGTGGATTATAATAAATTGTTGCTAACATTGAGAAGAATGTAAGTCCCAGAATATTAATTGTGCTCAAGTAAAACCAATACCTAGGCCAAGAGACTGCTGTGCAAACAGAGCAAGGGCACACCACATGGTTTAAAATTAAGAAAGGACTGCATCAGGATCGTATTCCCTATCCATATATATTCAATCTGTATGCTGAGTAAATTATCCGAGAAGCTGGACTCTCTGAAAAAATGATGGCATCAAGATTAGAGGAAAATTCATCAGTAACTTGCATTATGCAGATGAGACAACCTTGCTAGCTGAAAGTGAGGAGGACTTGAAGCGTTTGCTGCAGAAGATCAAAGAATACGGCCTTCAATATGGATTTCATCTCAACATCAAGAAAACAAAAGTTCATTAAGTTCTTAGCACCAGACCAGTAGACAATATCATGATAGATGGATGGAGCAACATGAAAGATTGAAGTTGTCAACAATTTCACCTACTTGGATCCACAATCAACTTGACTGATACTAGCAGTCAGGAAATCCAGAGACATATTGCACTGGAAAAGCTGCAGTCAGAGACCTCCCCAAATTGTTGAGCAGCAGTAAAATCAGTTTGAGGATAAAAGTGTCTGATTCAGGGGGTGGTCTTCCTGATCATTTGCTATGCGTCTGAAAACCAGACAGTGAATAAAGGATGGCAGAAGACTTGACACCTCCGACCTGTGGTGCTCGAGAATACTGAACATCTCATGGACTCCCAAAAGAATAAACATACATGTCTTGGAGAAAGTGCAGCCAGAGTGTTCCTTAGAGGCAGAGATGATAAAGCTTTGTCTCACATACTTTGGGTATGGTGCTAGGACAGACTCTTCCTTGGAGAGGGACATCATGCTTGGAAAGGTGGAGAGTTGGCAGAAGAGAGGAAGACTCTCAACCAGGTAGATCGGTACAGTGATTGCAGCAGTAGGCTCAAGTGTGTCAGAAAGTGTGAGGATGGCACAGGATAGGGCAGGGTTTAGATCTGTTGTTCATAGGGTCTCTCTGGGTCACATTGAACTCGATGGCACCTAACAACAATGAAAGCAAATACAAATGTCTAAGAACATACATATATTTATAACATCAAAGTCTGAGAAGATCATATTTTCAAATATAGGAGCTATTAATCTGTACTGTTAACATTGCTTTCTTGCAGGGTAGTCATTTCTGTGTACATTTATGTTTAAGTTAAAGTTCTTATTAAGCCTGTAGAGATTGTTTGAGATTAAACCTTCTAAAGGTTGAATTTTAGATTGTTTCATGTTGTGTATCACTGTTTGAAGTTAAGGTGTAAAGCATAAAAGGATATTGTCTGAATAGTAAAAAAGAATTTGCTGATACTTAGAATGGTTCCATATATTTTGCATGTGGAAATTGTAACCTTTCTTTCTTTTAACTTTTCAAAGGTGAGGAAGAAAATGCTTCCCGTTCCTCAGGATGGGCATCCTATCTGCATAGTTGGTCTGGACTTCGGTAGATTGGTGGAAATTAAATGGCTTATTTATTAACCAAATAGAAACCATTTGGCAGGAAAAAATTTCACATTTATTAGTATCTTCCTTTTGTCAAGAAGTATGTGTATATATTTACAGCTACATATATTTGTACATACATCTATGTATATGTATATATGACAGATGTATTGAAAACTCTGAGCTTGAAGTACTACACTTTGGAGTGTTGGTATCAGCCCACGATCTTGATTCAGCCCAGAGCCCACTATTTCTGTGATCTTCCCTTGCACAGTGCTACAATTAAAACATGAAGAATGAATTCATTCACTCCTCCTTCTTCTATGGAACCTCAGGACCCTCCTGCTTCTGGGCAGTGCTGTAAATTTTGACGTTATAAAAATTTGAGTAGCATAACAGTTGGAATTTAGGATTTTAAATTAATGGACTCTTGGAAAAAATCAGATTGTTACCATACATTATTAGGTAAAATTCGGTGATTTGTGCATAAAGTTAACTGCTTTATTGGTAAGTTAATTTTGTTTATTGAGGGACTTGAATATAAATGAGCTCTGGTGGTATAGTGCATATAGTGTGTTGCACCCCTAACCCAAAGGTTGGCAGTTCAAATCCACCAGCTGCTTGTCAGGAAAAAGATGGACAGTCTCTTAAGATTTACAGTCTGAGTAACCCAGTGGAGGGGCACTGAGTGAGACTGATCTTAATAGCACTGGGTGTATAAACTAAAAATTATGCAGCTAATTATGAGGCTAGATTTTAAAAGTTGTTACTGTTTTAAAATGTACTTTAAAAACATAAACTTCCCTCTTTCTAAAGTCAAAACTTAGTATGTAGACAGAATCCCTAATATTGACTGGTTTGACACTTAAAAGAAAGGACCACTGTGTTGACTTTGGGGTTATTTTCTCATGACATTCCTGACTTTTGCTATGATAGTAGTACTTCCAAACTATGAGTCTGTCTTGGATGTTTTTGCATCCCTCAATAAAAACCTGTCAGAACAGTGTCTTATTTAGCATTGTATCTAAGTGTGAAGCCAACTTCCAGTGTTTAAACACATAGTGTTGTTCTAAATGCTTCCCATCACTCATTTTCACAAATGCACCTTGAATTAGTGCACCATTGTCACAGTTCATGTCAAGAACCATAAATGGGGTATTGCTTCCTTTGGCATCTACAATATATTTTGACTAGATTACAAATGTGCTCTCAACTCATAAATGTGAAAATTCTGTTTTAATATTTTTATTTCAAATTAAAGCACCACCCAGTATGTTCTATGAAGTTCTCCAGGGCCTTCCAATTTATACTCAGATATTTCATTCTCAGTTGAAGAAGTATCTTTGCACTTTGTTTACTCGGAACACTAGTCTCCAATTTAGTTTAGGTAAAATTTGCTGCTGACACGTTGAGTTTGTTCTTTAAAAAGTGTCTTCTACTAATTTTTCCTCCAATTTTAGAAGAACAAACCTAGCGTTTAGTGAATGTATTATCGAAAACCTATCTATTTCAAAGCTGATTTTTTCTTACTTTATAAACTGTGAATAATGAATATGCCAGCAGCATTCAGTGTGACTAATAATTTTAAATAAATTTCACTTTCTTTGAGTCTAGGCTTTTGAGGTGTATGTAAACTTGTTTTAAAATATAATCTATACCTATGAATGTAATAATAAAAATACTTTTGCATGATAAAATTTACTTTCGTTACAAAAAAGCATATTCTTTCATGATTCCTGCAATGAGGAAATGTAATGATTATTTTAATATTACTATTAAATATGTTTCTCTGTATACTATATTGTTATGACTACTCTTTTCTGTAGATACTTTCTCTTTGGGGTTTTCAGTTTGGATTTGGGATGGAAATTCCTTTATTACTGTCCTTACGTCCTTCTCCAAGGAATAACCTGTGCTAACAACATGTCCAAAGCCTCCAAAGAGCACTCCAGCTGCACCTTCTTTAAGACATAGCTATTTGTTCTCTTGGCTATCCGTGAGATGTTCAGAGCATTTCTCCAGTGTCACAGCTCAAAGCCATCAATTCTTTTTCTGTCATCCTTATTCATTGTCCACTTCTCACATGCATAGCAAATAATTAGAAAGACCATGGTCTGAATCATATGCACCTTAATCCTCAAACTGACATTACTCTTCATTAATTTGGAGAGGTCCCTAACTGCAGACTTTCCAGTGTAGTGTCTCCTTGTTTCCTGACTGCTGGTATCAAGGGTATTAATTATGGATCCAAGCAAGATGCAATTCTCTTGACAGTTTCTGTCTGCTCTCCATAATGATGTTGCCTATGTATGGTCCAGTGGTAAGAATCTTTGTCTTCTTGACATTGAGATGCAATCCATACTGAAGGCTACATTCTTTGAACAAGTGCATTCCTTAATTTTAAACCATGCAGTGTTCCCCTGCTCTGTTCAAACAGCACCCTCCTGCTCCAGGTATAGGTGAGCACAATTAGGTGCTCTGAGAATCCTTTTCTCCTCAGGGTCAGCCACAACTTGTTATGATCCCCACAATCAAATGCTTTTTCAGTGTCAATAAAGCACAAATAGACCCTCTTCTGCTATTCCTTACTTTCAGCTAGGATCCATCTGACATCAACAATTATATCCCTGGTGCCAACAGCCTCCTCTAAATCCTTCTTGATCTGGCAGTTCCCTATCCCTGTTCTAGTCATTTTTGAATGATCTTCAATAGTACTTTGCTTGCATGTGATACTCTTTGATAGTTACCACATTCAGTTGGATCACCATTTTTGGGAATGGAAATAAATATACAGGGGCTATTCCTTGGAGAAAGACATCATGCCAGGGAATATGGAGGGTTGGCAAAGAAGAGGAAGACGCTCAACTAGGTGGATTGACACAGTGACTGTTGCAGTGGGCTCTTGTGTGTCAGGAAGTGTAAGGATAGCTCAGGATAGAGCAGGGTTCAGAATTCTAGTTCATAGATTGTTATTAGTCATACTCGAGGGCACCTAACAACAATAGCAACATTGTCCTTATACATTTAGGACCTAGAATATTAGATGCTTGAGAGAACCTAGATATCTGTGTTGGTTTGTGATAGGTAAACCATGGTGCCTGTCCTCGCAGATGAAATCAGAAGCAGCACAAAACTTTTCTTTGGAAGAAGTTAGACAGTGATTCTACCAGAGATCAGAACCTGACAATGACAATAGGGGAAGGATTGTGTTCAGTTAGAGGCAAAGGTTATTTCCTTTTTTGGGAATTTGGGCAGAAAGATTGAGAGAGAAAGCCGAAAGAGAAACCAAACAGACCATAAGAAAAAGCAGGCAGAGTGGCCTGTGGTCCAACGCAGCTCTCCAGCCCTGGATCCATGCCACTGGAGTGTTTACATGAAATTGAAGTCTTAAGAGCTGATTTCTTGAGTCTCTGATGATGAAGTACAAATGTGTGATGTCAAGGTCTTGGCTGCCTCTGATTTTAGACATTGATTATATACAGTGAGTTTTGCTTGTGCTCCACATACTGTAAAATATATTGAGAATTAACAGTCTTTTAAACAAACTGGCAAAAGTGTAACTGAACTAGTGTAAAGCTAAGGCTTACTAAAGGTATACAATAATTTGTGTTCTTAAGAAACTTTAGCTGATGTACTGAGTATGAAAGGTCTTATAAACATACAGTATTATCTGGTTGATGGTAAGAAAAAAAATTCTTGCATTAAAAGATGAAATTGTAATCTGGTGATGTGATAGTCTGATTTGGTATTAGCACAATTAGGTATTGCATCAAAATACATACCAAGAAAGCAGCCTAATAAAACTTGGCAGGTAACTTTAGTCCTTATCCATAGGTATTAAAGTACATTTGATTATTTGTAAAATAACCAAGTAAAAATACAGTAGAACTTATATTTAGAAGGAAATCATTTTTCATGTGCATTCAAAATGTTATGTGCCATCAAATTGCCTGTGACTCATAGTGACCCTATATACTGTGAACCCAGTTCTATCTTGAGCCAATTATCCCAGCCATCATATCAATCCATCTTATCCAGGTTCTTCCTGTCTTGTGCTGTCCCTCCACTCTTCCAAACATGATGACCCTCTCCAAGGACTGGTCCCTCCTGGCAACATGGGAAAAGTATGTCCGACTTTGGGTATGTCAGCTTCAAAATTCTTGCCTCCAAGGAGCAGTCTGATTTCACCCTTTCCAGGATGGATCGACCTCTTTGTTCTCTTAGCAGTTGATGGTGTATTCAGTATTCTTCAGCATCACAACTCAAAGGCATTGATTATTCTTCTGTCATCCCTAGTCACTGTCCAGCTCTCTGATGCAGAGAAAATTGTGAAGACCATGGCCTAGATCAGGCACACTGTAGCCCCCAGAATGACATCATTCAGTACTGGAGAAGTCCCTGACAGGAGACTTTTCTATGCTTTTGATATCCTGGCTGTTGGTACCAAGAGTTTTGATTGTGGATCCACACAAGCTGAAGCTGTTAACAATCTCAGTCTATTATGATATTGCCAATTGGTCCAGGGATAAGAATCTTTGTCAAAATGTAACTACATTAAAAAATTTTGAACTATGAATTATTTTTTCCCTCTTGGGTATGTGTGAATATAAACAATGTATTCTATGTAAAGAAATAGAATTTCCATTTGAATAGTTGCTTTTTAAAATAGAGGCAATCACTATTTCCCTTTGAGAATGAGCTCACCATCAACCATTGTAGTTGTTCATTGTTAGCTTTTCAGACATCTGCCTGACATTTAAGATAAGAACCTTCCTCTTTTCTATTACCTTTTCTGGGAATTTACCCACTGCCACCATACATAGGAGCAGGAAACCCTCAGCTATTAGCAACTGAACCAGATAATGGATACTGAGACAAACAAGTTCTCAGGAATTTGGAGTTGGAACTAGAGTCACTGTCCTATGTGACTGCATTGTACATATAACAGGAGCACTAACAAAAGCATTGTAATTCTTGCTGTTGAGTACTGTCAAGTAGGAACCAA